GGGAGGCAGGCTGTTCTCCCGTTCAGTAGGGCAGTGTATCATTCACACTGCAATAAGCGCAGTAGAGTTCTGCTGCAGAACGTCAGCCGTTTAATACAACCATTGACTGCAACGACGACAGACCCCTACTCCAGATCCAGAAGAATCAGCATGTCGTCCACCGCAATGTCCCAGAGAATGGTGTGGGTGGACCTGGAGGCAAGTCACTGGGCTGATGTCGGTTTGTAGCGGTGTAGTTAACAGACGCCGCTATGTGTATGTTTGCTAACGTTAGCACATGCTACACCAAGCTAAGCGGGGGATAATGAAGAGTTACGGATGATGTGCCGCTAAATTTGTTAACCGCGACATGTATAGTTAAATCGTGTGCAGTGCTAAGTACTTCAGTAACTTAGAAAGGTGGAAGTAAAACCCAAAGGCGGACAGCCTGTCAAGTGACGTACCGTGTGTGTCATGTTGTCGTAATGACCACTGGACGTTGTGCCGTCCTGGTTTACGTGACAGGTGAAAAATCTGGCAGCTCAATGATTATTAAAATACGGCGACGAGTTAACGCATGTTAGCAAGCATACCAAAGTTGGACATGACACAGGCTGAGTGAGCTTCATGTCACACTTGAGAAGAACTCGTATTCTTGCTGACTTTAGTGAGAAGCCAGCATAACTTGACGCCTAATGCAGTGGTTCTCAAACTGGGGGGTCGGGACCCCCATGGGGCGTCCCAAGATAATTTCAGGGGGTCGCCAGACCATTGTCAAAAAATAAAAAATAAAAATACAGCCTACATTCATCATATAAATTTGTATTAGGGCTGTCAAAATTAAAAGTGTACAATTCTTCCCACTCATTTTTTAAAAACTTGTTCATATTATGATTTGATTATGCGATATTATTATTCTTTTTTGCTCGTTTCAAAATTATTTTCTTTTGTTTATATATATTTTTTCCTTTCATTTGTTCAAAATAAATTCAATTCATTCATTCATTCAAAAGAAAATTAATGTGTTAATGTAAAAAGACTAATCTGTGGAATTAACACATACATTTTTAATGCATTAATGCATGAACCACAAAGTTATTACTCATGCAATATTTAAAATTCAAATTGGGGGGTCATGAACACAAACCGATATTATCTTAGGGGTCATGGCTCAGAAAGTTTGAGAACCACTGGCCTAATGTATGAGTGAAACGGTTGTTAAATCCAGTTGAAGTGGCATTATCTGTCTGCTACTGCTTATGTATCTCTTGTAAACACTTGGTGATGTTTATTTATTTATTTGTTTTTTTTTTTGAGAATGTCAGAAATCTTGCTTTTTGTAACAGTTTCCCTTGGCTATGCAGTCATTTATCATTTGGTAACCAGCCATCGATGTGGATGTAGTCTGGTGATGCTGTTGTAAACCTATCCATGCTATTCAAAGAATGTGAGAATGTGATGCTGTCGTCTTTGAGGCTCAGACACATGTCGGACATCCATCTTTTACAACTAAGTCTGTGTGTTTGTTTTTTTAGATGACAGGTCTTGACATCGAGAAGGACCAAATCATTGAAATGGCATGCATCATCACAGACTCTGACCTGAACATTTTGGCTGAGGTAATGTGAACTAAAACACTACAGGTCTTACCAGTACTCCGAGGGATATTCAGTGCCTTAGAAAGTTTCTTAACCAATCACCTGACTTGTGCTTTTCGGTAACCTTTTCACCAAGTTGCTCAGAGTGTTCTTTTGTCTTAGTTAGAGCCAGGAGCACTGATTTACTAATGATTGGTCCTTCCAAATACCAGAAGTGTCTTAATATTACAATCACTTTAGACAAATTCACTGTGCTCTGATGATCTCCATTTCACTAACTGTGTGACTTCTAGCACTTGGCTGCACCTGTTTTGAATTCGGTGACTTGCTTTAAAGGAGGTGACTACTTATGCAATCACTTATTTTGCATTTTGGATTTTTAATTAACTGGCATTACTCAGTAAAAGCCTGACTTCAGTTTGATTAAATGTTAAAAAGCAACAAAAAGGTAAAGTGTCCAATGGGAACTGTAAACTCATCTGTTGTTATTTGACAGGGGCCCAACTTGATAATTAAGCAGCCAGACGAGCTACTGGAAGGGATGTCCGAGTGGTGTAAAGAGCATCATGGAAAAGTAAGCTGACTTTGTGGTCTAAGACAAAGGAATATATATATATATATAAAATAACATCATAGGGCAGGAAATGTTTTTTGCTCAGCTATCTGTGAGTAGCAAATATTGTAGTTTTGGCTCCACCCTGTCAGTAACAAAGTATTGTGTGTGTGTGTGTGTGTCAACTAAGGGGAAACAAATCCAATGACTGTGGAGGGCAGGGCAGCAGTAATATTTGGCACGACAGTGCAGGCAGTACTGTGTTCACATCAGCTTCAGTTCATACTCAGTCTCAGTCTTTTTTCTTTTTTCTTTTTGCTGTTGCATGTATTCGGTGTCAGTTCCTGTGCTGTGATATACTGTCTGTCATTTTTCACTAATTTGAAAAGAGAGGGCTGAGTTTTGTTTTTAATGTATGTGAAAATAAAGGTTTCTTTTATAAAGTTTATAGTGATGTACACTCTCAGTGTAATTGTTTCTCAGTCAGGACTGACCCAGGCTGTACGGGACAGTAAAATCACCCTGGAACAAGCAGAGTACGAATTCCTGTCCTTCATCAGACAGCACACTCCGCCTGGACAGTGTCCTCTTGCTGGTGAGTTGCTTTTATCATCAGTAGCAGAACTGAAATAGTACAAGGGATGTCACAACATCCCTTGAACATTATGGTACATGTTTTTCTGTGGTACTGAAAGTACCAAAGATTTCATAAATGCCATGGTGCAGGTACAGCAACAGGCCTGATGCAAAAAAATGGTAATTAAAACTCAAATGGGATAATTGGGACAAGTTGTAGATAACCAAAGCCAGAATCCAAAGTGTCACAGAGCATTTGGAATGATTGGAGGGAACACCTCAAACTAAACAGCCCAAAGAAAGACATCCAGATCTGTACACAGAGTTTAGGGTTAGAGTTTCAGTTGTTGCTTTATCTGAACGGCATGTCGGCTCAGTGTTCACATCCTGAAATGTTACTATTGTGGTTTGTGTCCTGCAACTTCTGCATCTGTTTTTGCAATGCTTCACAAATAACAAACTTGTGTAAACCAATATAGTGATTGTTTTTGGGGTTTTTTGCGTCATAATTGGGAGAATTCGGGATCATGTTGGATAGCATTGGTGCAGACTACCAAATGTCTGGTACTGCAGCCTCATGAAGTGTCAGTGAACAAATTTGACTCCAGCAGGCATGTCTCATAATTCCTATTTTTGCAGGTAACTCTGTGCATGCAGACAAGAGGTTCCTGGACAAGTACATGCCACAGTTCATGTACCACCTTCACTACAGAATCATTGACGTCAGCACCATCAAGGAGCTCACCAGGTCAGTGTTGTGCAAAGTTGTGGAAACCTTCTTAGTGCCAGAACACTCCAGATAATATGCACGATCTTTTGTAATTTGATTCTGTTTAGGTTGCCTTTTTTAAACTCCTCTCAACACAGCGTTTTTATTTTCTCGAGGCCCACTAATGATCCTTTATGCCATTTATCAGTTCGTATGTAAAAGGTTTATTATTGCATTGTGGAAAAAGTTTTGAGATTCGGCAATTAAAGTCTGTCTGCTTAAGACTACAACATAGTAGAACTACCTGTAAGACTATACATGACAAGTTCAACAAGAGAGAACTAATGTAGCTTTGCTTTTGCTCTGTGAACCCTTTCAGACGGTGGTTTCCAGAGGAATTCAAGATGGTGCCGCACAAGAAAGCAAGTCACAGGTAAATGATAAGAACCACTCATCAACCTAATGATCAGCTAGTCAACAGAGAAAGGTCAGTTCTGGGTTATTCAACTTACATCAGAGTTTTGTAGCTATGGCCTCACTAGAACAAAGTTGGACTTTACAAAACAGTTGTAGAAAACAAATTAGCAGATTACACAGATTATCTAAACCTTTTTAAGTCTGACTAAAAGTGAGTACATCCAAAATGCTGCGAAGAGACCTCCATTGCGTTGGAAAACTGTACCATTAGTGCAAGTGTTCAAAGCTGAAGCTGGAAAAAGGTCTGCAAACTGTCAGAGGGCTGTACTACGAAGGAAGAGAAGTAGGTTAGCGAGGTGCATTGCGTAACAAATTTATGAGACCATCTGTCATAAAAACGAGAAAACATACATGTTATAGAAATCTTTCAAAGACTTTGTTTAAAACTAAAAATGTGATTGTTATTTATTTGGCAAATAACAAACTGATTCAACTCCATTGATTTTCACTCATTTGCCCACGCTGTTACCACAAATGTAACCCCATACCTTAATAGAATCTCCACCGTGTTTCACTGTGGGTGCAATGCATCTGGCATCAAAATGTTCTCCAGCTGTTCTTCAGACATAAACATGATGATGCCGACAGAAGAGTTCAAACTTGGACTCTTCCGTCCAGAGGACCTTCTTCCAGTCATCAACAGTCCAGTGTTTGTGCTCCCTGGCAAATCTGAGGCGTTTCTAGATGTTTGCAGGCCTCAATAAAGGCTTCTTGGCAGCTCTTTTAAGCCTTGTTCCATCTGTTGTCTGCTTATGGTCATTCTGGAGACTTTCTCAGACTCTGATGTGAAACTCTGAAATGAAATATTCTCCATGAAGTAGATGGTGACATAATTGTTTTTGAATAAGTATGATTTTGATGCATTTTTTTAAAGCAGTATAGGATTAAAGAATCCAGTGTCTTCCCTTCATATTCATGTAGAATGTCCACGGTTGTTTATTACTCCTATCAAACTTTTTAACAAAAACAAATAAAGGCTGCTCCATTTTTCAAATATGCAGAAATGACAACAAAGCCAAAGCTCCAGAATGAAAGCCTAATAATGAAGAATGCCCAATTTCATGCTGTAATGGAAGAGGGGGGCAAAAATAGCATCTTTAATGGGTTTTGATGGGGGTATTTTTGTCCTTTAAGGTTCCTAAGTGCAACTTATTTTTTTTCTTTTTCTTTTTGTGCAGAGTGTATTGTTGATGCATTACGTGAGCTGAGATTGAAACACCTTTGCCAAATGCATTAAGTTACAAATTTATGTTAAAAAATCAGGCATAAGAGCAACAAAAAAGTGTCCTTATGGGCACATGAGCTTTAAGCTCACATTGAAACTTCAGAGAAATCCGATTAAGTCATTTTTCCTCTTTCAGAGCCTTGGATGACATCCAGGAGAGCATTAAAGAGCTGCAGTTCTACAGAGCCAACGTCTTTAAAGCGTCAGCAGAGGAGAAGAAGCGAAAGATCGTAGAAAATGGAGGCTGTAACAAATGTTAGCACACAAGTGAAACTGAGTTTTCACAGCTGCATTTCTTGAAGAAAGCAGTTTCATCGTTCAGTGCCATTGTCTTCATTATTTTGCTTTCCGATCACAGTTAACGACCGAAAAATCCAGTGTTTGAATATGATAAATGTAGAGGCTCCATTAAAGGGAACAAGATTTTTACAAGTTCAAAAGAGGATCATTTGGAAGTGACCTTTAGTATTTATATGTTGAATTTAGTTTGATGGAGACAGTCTGAGATTGATTTTCATTTTTTTTTGTTAAAATAAAAACAGAAAAATTCAGTGGTCCCTGACAGACCAAATTTGTCAGCTTGTGTCGACAATTTCATTGTGCAGTGCATTCATGCCTGAAATGTGATTTAATTGCACACATACTTTGTATGCATGCTAAATTTTATGTTTTGAATGTGGTGTTGATGGACACTACTGTCCTGCAATGCAATAAAAAGTTGGTGCAGCTCATGCCTGGAATAGTAAATGATTGAATGCTTTCAGGAACCTGATAGAAAGCACGCAAGCCAAAATCATGTTGTCTTCACATTATCAAGTCTCCGGGCTGCACAGTCTCCGGATTGCTTCTTAGCACCATCGCCCCACAGCTAGAAGGTCGCTGGTCCGGTGCGGACCCCTGGGATCTTCCTGCGTGGAGTTCACATGTTCTCCCGGTGCAACGTGGGTTCTTTCCGGGTTCTCCGGCTTCCTCCCACACAGTCCAAAAACATGTTGAGGTTAATTGGTGATTCTAAATTGTCCGTAGGTGTGAATGTGAGTGTGCTTGGTTGTCTGTCTCTAAGTGTAGCCCTGTGATAGACTGTTGACCTGTCCAGGTGAACCTGCCTTCACCCTGAGTCAGCTGGGATAGACTCCAGCCCCCCATGACCCTGATTAAGCGGTGTATAGATCATGGATGGATGGTACTACATGTTCTCCACAGCAGTATTTTGTTTGACCAACGAGCTAACTTGCTGATTCATTATATTAATCATGGCAACAGTAGTTGATGTAGTCCAACATCTCCTGAATGAAAATGTTCATATTGTTTTGGAGCCATGTTATGAAGAGCAATTGAACATTCTGTCTTGATCACAATGCTCCTATGTCCACTTAAATGACAGGACCCAAGGTTTCTCAGCAGAACATTGCATTATTGTAATGCACACTGTGAGCAACGTTGTTCACTTAATGTGTCAGTAGTTTTAATGACTCGTTGATTTACATCATGCTATTTTACTTCTATTCATATGTATTGCAATAATATGCCTACTGTAGAGACTTATGGGCCACTATTTTAAAGATAAGAGAATTTAAGGAATGACATCTAATTGGCAAATAGGTTGTAAAAAAAAATGCATATGGCCTTTCATGGATATTATTGTTTTTCTGTAATGATCTCGTGAGATGCATCATAACATAAAAGGAGGAGCGGGACAGGAGGAGGATGCCTGTGTCGGGTCGCAGTGATGCTCACCGTCTAACAGGCACATCAACTGTAGAGGTCCCCATTTTACCGACTGCTACACACCTTTGTTGCACCTCCTGTTTTGATTCCTACCACAGGGGCTGGACACACACACACACACACACACGCCGAGAGACTGCGCGTGGAGTAAGCACACATCAGAGAACCACCCTGCTCACGAGCTGCGGGTGAACCGAGGGAGGATTTTCGCATTGCTGATGATCAGAGTAATAAAGCACCGGGATGCTGCTGCTGCTGCTGCGCTCGGATCACTGAGGATGCTGACTGGTGTAAGCTGCTGCTGCTGCTGCTGCTGCGTGGCGAGCTGAAGATATGCGGCACTCTTCGTTCCTCCACCAGGTCCCACTGTAGCTGCTGTAAAGTCGATCCAGAGACATTTTAATACTCTCTCTCTCCTCTCCTGCTGGGATTTGTCTTTTGCTGGATGTCGGGATGCCTGCTTTTCCCCTCCTCACAATGTTGTTGGGTAAGTTCAATTCATATTCCCGGCTGCCGCAACTGATTTTATGCTGAAGCAGACTATTGTGAAATGTGTGTGTGTTTGTATGTGTGTGTGTGAGAGAAACCACATGCACGCGCACAGGTTTTAAATTGAGAAAGAGATGCAGAGGAAAGGTTTATTCAATGAGTTGCTTTACTGTGCTACTGTACACAAAGAACAGTCCTAGGCCTGATCCGTTTTCGAGGTTATGATATTCAGAGTAGTGCATAAATAGGACAGACACACACACACACAATAAGATACAGGTACATATTGCAGTACTCAATAATCCCATGTTGTTAAGTCTTACCAGTACTATTCATAACATCTTATGTAGGGCCCGACTGATATGGATTTTTTGAGACCGATTCTGATATTTGGATAACCGATTAATCGATAGCCGATTAATTAAAATAATATATAATGAATAAAATAGCTTCTCTTTTGCTCCCTCACAGCAACAAAGATAAGACTCACAGGCAGAACATTTTACTGCTTTACAATACTTTGTCCTTTAGTATGTGTTTAACTTTACAACAGAGAGGAATTGTCAAGTACAAAAACATGCAACAAAGCGTTAAACATAATATGCATCAGTTTCAAAAAAAAAGTTTTCCAAACAAATATGTCTGTAATGTGGGGTATTTTATTTTAAATTTGCATTGTGCATTTTTCTTCCAATTGAGCATGCATGATTATAGCTACCAGCTGTACTGATAGATTTATCTTCAGATTTAGGCCATAAGTGTGTGCTGTATATAAGCAACATAATGAGTGAAGTTACTGGCAAAACTTTATTTCTGCACGTGCCCGTTAACATTTAATCACATTTTCTCTGCTCTGTTGTTTTCTTTTCCGTGAAGTCATGACTCATATGAACCAAAATAACAACCGGAGACGCCTTTACTTAGATGTCAAAACATGTCATCTTTGACAGAACAGTATTTTAAATATACAATGGTCATGAATAGTCGGACACTAATGTTCCTCCATAACAACACACAGTGAGCTGCTGTTACAGCCTTATAGTGTTTTCTGACAAAGTAAAACTAAGAGCGACACCATGACACTTGCTGAAGACAGACAGTAATGTTCATCATTTGAATTTTTCGGGCCTGCACTGAATAAACCCCATCTATCTATCTATCTATCTATCTATCTATCTATCTATCTATCTCCCCTCTGCTCCTGCGCCTCAACACACAGCTGACGGAATGATGAACGGTCGTTCTATATTCTCAAATATTTTGTACACTTACGTTATTTCTGAACTTTAGTAGCACCGCTTAGCCCATTTCTGTAATGCTGCCTGGCTGTAGCTTCCTCCTGAACTACTGAGAGGACAGCGGTGAGGACTGAAGGACTGAATGGAGTCAGAGCTCCATCTAGTGGACAAACGGGACAAGGACAACATTCTGCGCGACTGTGATATTTAACCGCATTTACTGTTTTATGAGAATTAAAGAATATCTTGCCGTTTCCTTGGCAAAACTCTGGCCGATGATGATTATTTTGAAAAGGGACTATGATCGGCCGATTTAATCGGCCAGCCGATAAATCGGTCAGGCCCTAATTTTATGTAAACTCACTGTTGAGGGTCACATATCTATATGGCAGATGAAATATAAAAATACCATATGGATGAGAATCATGATAATTAAAGGTCACTATAAGCTGATTTCTATTGATTTTGTTTAGGGAATATAATATAGATACTATAAGAATGTCACTGTTGTGGTTTTAAGTTCGGAAGTAAGACAAAGACAAAGTGGTATTTAAGACACCACTGCGTAACCTATCACAGCCACTATAAAATTCATAATTGAAATGTTGCAAGAATATTAATGGTGTGTTTTGATGTAGTGATGAAAAAGGTGTCGTTGTTGAAATTGAGTAGTAGTTGTAACAATCCTCTAGAAACCACAGAGCAAAGACTGACGTTCAGTGTGGAGCATCGTCACCATCATCCCATCCTAGATTTGTTGTATGTGTGTCCAAACCTCTCCAACCAAATAGACCACATCATTGTATGGCTGCTAGATCTCAATCTAAAAATGCACTTTTACTTCCCGATAAATCAACATATTATATATTAACCATGGCATTCTTTCTCGATGTTTATAACTAATAGCATAGATCTAGGGGGAAGTACAAAATCTTTCTTCCTCACTCTTGTCGTCTTTGTCTCTCCCTGTTTTTGAGAGCTGTCCCATTTTAGAGATTGTATAGTATCTAGACTTAATCTTTAAAGCCACAGTGAATAGTTTATGTGCTGGGTTTACTGCAATTTTTCAGCAAGTTAACCTTTTAGTACATACATTGTTTTTTTTTCTGGCATAAAGGAAATAAAAGTTCATGAATGTGCAAATTGGTGTTTTCTCATCACATCTTTATCTCTATAGTAAATACACAGTTTATAGAAATACACAGGCCTCTTGGTAATTTCTGCTGCCTGCATCTGACACGTGTGAGCACATCCCAGCCTTACACTCAGCTTTTACAGACAGCACAGGGCCACGGCATCACAATTAGTCCAGTTGTCCGTGGCTTTCATTAGCTTCATTATAGAATGAGTTCACCAGGCCATATCAAAAGCATGCTCTACCTCAAGGCACTGCCTCCTTCGCTCTGTCGTTGAAAACATGAATGCAGTTGAACAAATTGGATAGGGCCACTATTAGAATTTAGATTTAAATATGAACAGTTGTGTAGCTGCTAAGCTTTCCATATTTATTGACAGACAGCATGTAGTGTTTAAGGGTACTCTGGGTTATGTAAAGTTTGATCTCAGGATGGAGCTAGAGCTTGCGCCCCTGGTATAATGATTCCACGGCATGCTGGGCTGTTATCATCCAACAACTGCCTGCCCTTGTGACCTTGAAGATGAAGGCAACAGACAGAATCAAGTATGCAATTATACAGCTTTTTACAGGACAATGAATACTAAAGCAGTACAGCTGGCCTGGTAAAAATGATTTAGTTACTAATTGTTAGACGATGAATGAACAACTATTGCAGGATTTATGTGCCGCCAGGATGATGAGGAAATAAGGCTCTGGTGTCCTCTGGATTGAGCCTAAACTGTGGCTTCCTTCGGATTTGTCTCCTTCACACAGTTGTTTTGCGGGCCACACTCTATTTTTAGAACACTTTCTATTTGACCTTTATGTTGTTCTTTTTTTCTTTTTTTGTTTCCTGTCCTGAGAAATATTACAGACATCCTCAAAGATCAGCGGAAGCCAGTGTGTCTCTAGTGTTATATGTCACACACTGTCAGGTGCCTTCACTAAGCTGATCGCACAAACAGCGAGTTAAGCCGTATCAGACTCCTTGTCTCTATATATAGATCACCGGCGGCAGGCCAAAGGAACTGTCAAGTGTGGAGATGATAGAGGTCTCCAGTGCCAGAGGTTAGGATGTGACATCTTGCAGCAATCTGGCGTTAAATCTCTGTCAGCCGCCCTCCTTAGTCTCCGCTTCAACCTCCTCTTCCTCTTACTT